TGTGGTAAAAGTGAACCACTGGGCAAAGAAACTACCCTTGTCTCAACTGCTGACAGTATGCTGTCCACACTGGGCAAGCAGGATACAAAAGAAAGCGATTGTCGAATTTCACCAAGACAAGGTAGGACAGTCCTTTAAAATTCTTGCTTTAGGGCTGGAGAGATGGCTCAGAGGTTAAGAGCACTAGCTGCTCTTCCAGAGGTCCTGAGTTCAATTCCCAGCAACCACATGGTGGCTCACAATCATCTGTAATGAGATCTGGATCTGGCACTGTATCCTGGAAAGTGCATAATAAATTAATTAATTAAAAAATTTCTTGCTTTATAGAAAAGTTTGTCAGATATCTTCGGCCTATAGGTTGAAGATGGATGCCCCAATGTTGCAGAGGAACCTTGGGGTGATTTTCAAGACAGCCATAAAAAGAAAATATCCCCCCCCCCTTCTCTCTCTGTTTTTTAAGCCAGGGTTTCTCAATAACTATGGAGCCAGTCTTGAAACTTGCTCTTGTAGACCAGACCGGCCTCGAACTCACAGAGATCCGCCTGCCTATGTCTCCCAAGTGCTGAGATTTAAAGGCGCGTGCCACAACTGGCCAGATCTCTCTCTCTGTTTTTTGAAAGATCACATAATCCAATTTTATTTATTTATTTGTTTGTTTGTTTGTTTAGATTTTTCGAGACAGGGTTTCTCTGTGGCTTTGGAGCCTGTCCTGGAACTAGCTCTGTAGACCAGGCTGGTCTCGAACTCACAAGAGATCCGCCTGCCTCTGCCTCCCAAGTGCTGGGATTAAAGGCGTGCGCCACCATCGCCCGGTTTATGTAGTTCTTATAACTTAAATTAACCCATTTCTAGTAATCTGTGTGCTGCTAGGTGGCTTGTAAGTATTACCTCTACTCCTGCATGTGTTGCTTGTTCACTGTCTCCTGCATCTCTCCTCTTTCCTCTCAGCATCCTCTCTGTTCAGAAATCTTGCCCTGCTATTGTCATTCAGCTTTTTTTTTTAAAGATTTATTTATTTATTATGTATACAACCTTCTGCCTTGATGTATGCCCGCACGCCAGAGGAGGGCGCCAGATCTCAGTACAGATGGTTGTGAGCCACCATGTGGTTGCTGGGAATTGAACTCAGGACCTCTGGAAGAGCAGCCAGTGCTCTTAACCTCTGAGCCATCTCTCCAGCCCCCTGTCATTCAGCTTTTAATTAAACCACTCAGAGTAACACATCTTCCACAGTTTACAGAAAAATTATTCCACAACATTTCCCCCTTTTTGTCTAAATAGAAAGGAAAGGTTTTAACTCTTAACACAGTAAAACTATATACAATAATAATAATTATCAGGCAGGAATTATATTCAGAATGTCCAGTCCATTTGTATTTTGGCATATTTAGAGAAAATATTTTATCTATACCTTTTTATCATAACTTGTATTATCATCTTAAAAGTATTTTGTAGACCTCAAATTTTTTTTTTGTGGGTTTTTTGTTTGTTTGTTTTTTGAGACAGGGTTTCTCTGTAGCTTTGGAGCCTGTCCTGGAACTAGCTCTGTAGACCAGGCTGGCCTCGAACTCTGCTTCCCGAGTGCTGGGATTAAAGGCATGTGCCACCACCGCCCGGCCCTCAAAATATTTTTTAGAGAAACAATTTTAAGTTTTATTGTCCTTCAACCTTATAAACTTTTATCTCTTATGTAAATTTATGAATTTGGTAACAAGGCAAACGGTAAAAAGGCAAACTGTAAAACTCTGACTGCTTAGTCTTTAATCTCCATCAGAGACCTAAGAAGGATAAAATATTACTTGAGAAACAGGAAGTGCAGAGAAAAGCAAATTTTAAAACTTAAGAGATATCTGGCCAGCCGGGCGATGGTGGCGCACACCTTTAATCCCAGCACTCCGGGAGACAGAGGCAGGCGGATCTCTGTGAGTTCGAGGCCAGCCTGGTCTACAGAGCAAGTTCCAGGACAGGCTCCAAAGCCACAGAGAAACCCTGTCTTGAAAAACAAAACAAAACAAAACAACAACAACAACAAAACTACTTAAGCACTAGTCTAAGCTTTTCTAGCTCCCTCTCAGAAAGGCAAATTCGGTCTCAGTCCTCTCTGTTCTTCTCCCCTCCCTTCTATACTGCCACCCCAATTCCTTTAACTTGTGGTGTCTAACATCCAACCTTTTTATTATAAAAAAGAGATGGGAATGTAATGATCTGTTCTGTCTCTTTAAGAGACAAGCCATGGTCACTCCCTCCCCCATCCGCTGAGGCAAGTTGATCTTCAGCTTCTAGTCTGAGTTCTCTCTCCTTTCCTGCTCCCTCTCAGAGAGGCAGCTTCAGTCTCTCCTCTCTGCCTCTCTGTTCTTCTCCCCTTCTCCCTTCCCTTCCATAATCACTAAATATCCCACCTCACTCTGGAAAAAAAAAAAAGAACTAGTCTAAGCTATAGGCCAAGCTTTCATAATTAAAAAGCAGTCTCAATGTCCTTCTCCTTTAATGTGGCCTGCAATACTTGCAAGCATCCATATTTGTGTATTCTAGGGAACTTGGGCTCAAAGGTGATTGAGCAAATGCACTGCTGTACCATGGGAATCTGTGTTTGTCTGAGGTCTCATGTGTGATGAGCATCCAAATAAAATGACAGGCTTCCCCATCAGTTTGGGAAAGGGTAAACATCTCAGATTCTTCATTTCTTAGTATCAATCTACAAGCCACAAAGACATTTATTTTATAGCAGTTAAATACAAGAAAAATCCTTTCACAAGAACAAATTATCTTAACAAACTTAACAGTCTTCCTACCCTTTTTTTTTGTTGTTGTTGTTGTTTGTTTGTTTGTTTTGGTGTGGAGCAAGATCTTACTATAGCCAGCTGGCTTCTAACTCTTAGCTCTGTCTCCCTTTGACTGGGACTTAAATCATGGACCACTATCCAGCTCCTACTCTTTCTACATGGCACCCCTTCAAGAATCCCCAGATTCCCAAACCAGGTGGTAGTGGTACACGCCTGTAATCCCAACACTCAGGAGGTAGAGGCAGGTGGATCTCTGTGAGTTCAACGTTAGCCTGGTCTACAGAGAGAGTTCCATGACAACCAGGGTTACATGGAGAAACCCTGTCTCAAACAAAATAAAATAAAACCAAACACATTATTTAAATTTATGTTTAAAAACATAATAAAGCCTAATGTGGTGGTCCACACAGCCACTATCTGTCCTGCCTTTAATCCCAGGACTTGGAAAGCAGAGGCAGGTGAATCTCTGCGTTTGAAGCAAGCCTGGTCTACAGAGTGAGTCCCAGGACAGCCAAAGCTATACAGAAAAACCTCATCTTGAATCCTCCCCCCATTAAGGAGAGAGAGAGAGAGAGAGAGAGAGAGAGAGAGAAGAGGAGAGGAGAGGAGAGGAGAGGAGAGGAGAGGAGAGGAGAGGAGAAGAGAAGAGAAGAGAAGAGAAGAGAAGAGAAGAGAAGAGAAGAGAGACAGGGACAGACGGATCAGATGGTTCTAGCGGTCCTACTTACCCCTGATAGGTCACAATGACAGGCAAGAACTGTAGTCACAGGCCAGACCTTAGTAGCTAAAAACCTTGCAGCCACCCTCCCTGTGTGTGGAGCCTACTCACCTTACTAAAGAAATCCAAAGACTATATTTCCAAACTTGACTATAAATTCCCAGATTTAAAACTTCTAAGCCAGTGTTTGCTGCCTAATCTAATAAGCAGAATCAAGAAGAATGCATCTGCAGTGAGTATACTCTATATTCTTCTTTGGTAAAGCAGACAGTCTCTCCACAAGAAACAACTGTAAGTAACAATGGAAGGAGTATCAGGTACAGGGAAAGAACCTGAGGCTCAAATGGGCAAAGCAGAAAGGAAAGAAGAGTGCTCGCTTCGGCAGCACATATACTAAAACAGAAAGGAAAGAAGATAGTGAATGTGGCAGAAAGAAGGAAGAGAGCATATCAATGTAGATCAAAGTTGTAGGCTAAGGTGACTAGAAGTTACCAATGTCCAAGTGGGGCTGTACAATGGACAAATAGTGCAGCTCTGGGAGAGAAGGCAGGGGAGAAGGGTAGAACTCTTTCATATATACTAGAAAGGTCCCCAGGGATAAACCAAAGGAGAAGAAAGCTAGACTAACAAAATTCAAGCTGTAGAGTGTGGAGAAAGCAGCAGCAAATCAGCAAAGTAGAGAAACTGACTACAAGCTCAGGGGTTAGGACCCTGCCAAAGGAGCAGAGCTTCAGAGGCAAGCATGGGATATATGTAAACTGAGAGGGCCCCATGTGCTTGGTGTGAGCACTTCAGGTGAGTGGGAGAAATGTGTGCTGAAATGTGTGCACAGGTCAAGTGTCAGGAAGGATAGGGACCTAAGATAAGGAAACAAGACAGAAGCAGAGCAAAGCCCCAAGAAGGAACCGAGCCTCTGGGAAGGCGTCCTTGAAGGATGTAGGGCTATCTGGGGTAGATGCTAGAGAAAAGGTTCTGGAAAGCACAATGCAAGGGAGAACACACAGGCAATCGTGAACACTGATTCAAGACAAACGGAGGCACATACTGGAATGTACCAGGAATAAAGCAGTTTAGTCGCAGATGCAAAAAAAAAAAAAAAAAAAAAATCAATGGAGAAAGCCAGCAAAGGTCTATATGGAAGCCAGCTCTCCTCCAAAACCAACAGAGGGGTCTCAACCTGATAAACAGTGCGAATCATTTAAAACCAGGGCAGGTAGGCAACAACAGGAGCACAGATGCAAACTCCTGTTCCTTTGTCAAGAACTACACATCTGGAAGGTTTGGACAGCTACAGGTTTAAAACACCAGTGCAAAGCCAAGATTCCATTCAAGAGCCCAAGGCCATAACCTACCCTATTTGTCACCCTGTAGCCACTGCCCACTTCTGCCCATCTGTGGGCTGCCCAGACTAGGAACTTACTGAGGAACACAGAGCCAGCAGTAGGAGCACACCACCTGAAAGAATAATCTAATAAGAAGTGGAAGTGTTCAATACTCACAGGAACAATAAGCCCTTGCCAAGTCAATAAATTAGCTTCATCAACCTGGATGTTACGGAAGTTTTTCATTCCACATTTGCGGATCTCTTCAAGCTCCTGTTGATTAACAAAGCATAAAGGGGTGTCAAATCAGGAAAGCACCACATATTAAGATCCCTCCTGACTCCCTCAAATTAAAACAGGTGACAACATCACTAATACATCATCACCAGAATACACCTTATCAGGTTAAGGAGGCATGGAGCCATGGTAGTTCCATCTGTAATGCCATTGCCTTTATAGACCCTTGCCCCAGACCAAGCCAAGCCCCAGTCTCAAGCAACCCACTGAATACAATGAGAGGAACCATGTTGCTACAGATATACCACCTCCTCTTTGGGCTGGTCATGCTGCCTGTTTAAATACCCTCAGCAGAGCCAGGTAGTTCACACCTGTAATCCCAGCATTTGGGAGATTAAAACAGATGGACTGGTGTGGGTTCAAGGCCAGTTAGGGCTACAAAGTGAGACTGTATCAAAAAGGAAGGGAAGGGGAGAGAGAGGGAGGGAGGAAAATAAAAGGACTGGTGAGATGGCTCAGCAGTTAAGAGTACTGGCTGTTCTTCCAGAGGTCCTAAGTTTAATTCCCAGCAACCACATGCTGGCTCACAACCATCCATAGTGAGATTTTATGCCCCCTTTTGGCATGCAGGTGTACATGTAGACAGAGCACTCATATAATAAATCAGTGAGTAAATTAAACAAAGAAAAAAAGTCAAAGAAAAACAGGGAAAAAAAGGAAAAATAAATGGAAGAACTGAAAATAAACAAATGAAGTAGCCATCCCCTAGCTACACAGGACCCTGAGATGCCTGCAGACCTAACTTTTTTCAAACAAGCACCAGCAATGTACACTCTAAAGATGACTAAGGCTGGAACTCGAAGGCAAACAAAGGCAAATGGGTGCCCACAAATCTTTCCTACCTAACATGTTTAGAGCAATTTCAGTACTCCACCCCAGGACAGGCACAGGCAAAGAGCACAACTGACCAGTATGGAATGGGGAGGGGAACAAGAAACCAATCAGTACTGAAGCTCAGTTTCTTCAGCTATCAATGGTGCAGTAAGTTCCTGAACTAAAAACAATGAGCGGGAAACTACACCATGACAGACTCTAAATCTATGCAAGTTCTCATAAGTAGATAACATAGCACTTCACTCAGAAAGCAAAACCACCATAACAGATTATTTCAGAATTCTGTTTAAGCTGTCTTTAAGGCTGTCTGTCACTTGGTTTTCCACTGTGTATCAGCCTGACATTTCCCATTGCTTCACCAACAACAATGAATATACAGCGGGCATCTTACCCAAGCCACCCAGAAAGTACCATGACTCATGCCCACATATACGTGGTCACCTCCCGCAAGTTCCTAGACTGCCACTCCCCACTACTACCTCAATCAGACCTCACAACCAATGAGATGATAGCCTCCCATCCACCCAAGATGCCTTCTCACCTACAACCTGAACATTGACCCTGTCTCATCTACCAGGCTACAGCTCCTCTCTCCCAGCCCACATGCCCTCTAATACAGGAAAGGCTCCCTCCTTAAGCAGCCATGATTCACAATGGCAAAGGCCACCCTATTGGCTTCTATGTCACCAAGATCAAAAGATCCTTTGTATCACACATTCCCACTAGGCCGCAATAGTTTAGAAGACACTATTTCTAGTTAGTAGAGCTAGAGAATCACGGAAGGAGTAATTCTCAAAGCACAGTGAAGCAGAGTCAGTGTACCAGTTCTGAGTTGGAGAGATGTGAGAGGCCTAACTCAGGATGAGCTGAGGAAGAAGAAATGGATGGAATTGGGTGTCCCACAGGAGAATGTAGGGAAATGCTGCCCGTTTCACAACCTCAGGTGCCTACTATAAGCACCTGGACCAACTCCGGAAATTCTAGTCCAGCAACTGTGGCTAGAGCTTTAATATGGGAATTTTTATTAAGTGGCACAAGAAGGGAAAGGGTGTTACCAAGCTTAACCAGTTCAGTTCTAAGGAAGGTCTAGCCATATTGCAAGCCTCTAATCTACACCAGGGGACATATGGTGAGATAGCCTGATTGCTCTACAAGAAAACATCATGGAACCTGCGAGAATACTCTAACCTGCTAGTTACCATCTTGGTCTTCCAGCTGCCACTCAGAACTCCTCAGGAACTATGAAATATGGACACACTCAAGAAGGAAAGGTTTCACATGTCACTAACCACTACTCTTCAACTTCATGAGGGCAGGACAGGTGCAGGAGATAAAATATTCCAAACAGAACTTTGAAATCTAGACAACCAAAAAACTTGAGAGGCAGAGGCTGGCGGGTTTCTGAGTTCTTGGCCAGCCTGGTCTACAAAGCAAGTTCCAGGACAGTCAGGGCTACTCAAAGAAACCTTGTCTCAAAAAATCAAAAAACAAACCAAACAAGGAAGGAAAGAAGGAAATATTGAATGTTCATTTAAAAAAAAAAAAACTTTACATGGCCTGTATACAAACATACTTGACAGCTTCGGTGCTCTATGCGAACAATATGAAGTATGGCTAATAGACATAAGGCAAATTTCATGAAAATTACAAAGATGGGGTTTAAGTTGTTTAAGGACTGCAGGCTGGGCTTTAAGCTTAGCAGCAAGGCAGTGGCCAACTGGCAGCACAAGATCCTACAGCATTCAATCCCAGCACTACAAAATCACTAAGTAAATAAAAGGCACATAGTTTTCTGGGGCTGTAGTTCAATTCATAGAATGTTTGCCTAGCACCTATAAAGCCCTAAGTTCAAGTCCTACACTCAGGGTAGATCACAACCACCTCTAACTGCAACCCCAGGTCATTCAACACCCTCTCCTGGCCCAGGGGGTGTACAGACACACACAGATCAAACACCCATACACTCAAAATTCTTCAATTAATTTTATAATTTACTTATTTTTAGTGCACTGGTGTGCATGCATGTCTGTGTGAGGGGTCAGATCTTGGAGTTACAGACAGTTGTGAGCTGCCATGTGGGTTCTGAGAATTGAACTCAGGTCCTCTAGAACAGCCAGTTCTCTTAACCATCTCTCCAGCCCTCAATTTTTTTTCAAAAAGTAAATTCAAGGCCCATCCTGGGGAACAGAGTAAGTTTCAAGGCTAACCTGGGGAACACAATACTCTGTCTAAGAAAAGGAAAAAAAGAAAACCCATGAAGCTCTGTTCCTAGGTGCTAAGACAACAAGTGCCTCAGTGCCAAGTTATCAAGCAGATACCTGAACAAAGATTAAAAAAAGCCCCAAGCCTTCCGGCCACAGAAGGAAAGGTGCCACTAATGAGTGCTGAGCTGGAGGCTCAGGAAGTTCAAAGCAGAGTGATCAGATAAACTCTCTTTGCTGTCAGGTTAAGGTACCCAAGAAGGAAAGGAAAGGTAATTTCCTGTCGAACAGTTCTAACCAAAGAACCCATTATAAGACAGAAGTGAGAGCCAAGACAAATAAGCCCTGACATCCGGGAATGCTGGGTATCCTACAGAAGAGTGGCTCTCAATGGGATCCAAAACAGAATCATGCAGCTCAGCATTCTGGGTCCTACACAAAAAACATATGCCAGACATCTGGCCCTGTCCTATTGAGATTAACACCCTCTGCAGCCCTAGCTGAGAACAATGGGCACTAAGAATGGCTAGCATGTTAAAATTCCATTATTGCCCAAGATGGTTCTAAGGACAAGAGCTGCCTCCTCCTTCACTGAGGAAAGCAAACTGAAGAGCCACACCACTCATTCAGAAGTTCTATCTAAAGATCTGAGAGAAAATTACACAAACCCTCAAGATGGTATATCTAAAATCACAACTATAACTGAGAATGGTCTGGATAATAACAACCTAGTAAAGAATTTCAAGAAACCCATGTAAACTCAGAGGTTGAAGTCCAAAGGCTTTATTACTAATAACGATGGAAAGGAGCTGACTAAGAAAAGCTAATGAGACGGTTCAGAGGTTAAAGGTGCTTACCATAGAAGTCTGACAGCCTGAATTCCATCCCCAAGATACACAGGGTGAAAGCAGAGGAGACTCCTGCTAACTGTCCTCTAAACTCCACATCCACACTGTGACATGAGTACCCATGCGTGCACACACACGGCACATACAAATTATAGTCAGCCGGGCGGTGGTGGCGCACGCCTTTAATCCCAGCACTCGGGAGGCAGAGGCAGGCGGATCTCTGTGAGTTCAAGGCCAGCCTGGTCTACAAGAGCTAGTTCCAGGACAGGCTCTAAAACCACAGAGAAACCCTGTCTCGAAAAACCAATAAAAAATAAAAAAAAATAAAAAAAAATAAATAAATTAAAAAAAACAAATTATAGTAAGTAAAGCATAATTTTAAAATGAAAATACAGCAGCAGTCCAGCTCTTTGGGAATAAAGTCTGAAAGATCTAAGCAAGAATGGCACGCACAGAACACACTTCCCCAAAAGATTTATTTCAGTTCTGCTCAATGCCAAAAAGCAACCTGGGGTCAGCTGCTCAGGACTGATGGTGCAATGCTGACAGCCAAGAGATGAGTCAAAAGAAAGCAGAACCAGTCAACTCTTTAGTCCCTTCTGCAAGAGGGCAAGCAGTACACAGGGAAAAGCCCAAAAGAGGTCCCTCTTTGAATCCAGCTGCTCCCAGCTTTAGAAGGAATCTGAAAAAACACAGGGTACTGCTCAGTTTCTGTGGGGGTTTTGTTTTTGTTTTGGGTGATGCTAGATATCAAACCCAGGGCCTCAATAACTGTAGCAGTACACACTCTATTCTTAATATACACACCAAAAAAAAAACAAAAAAAAAAACAACAACAACAAAAAAAAAAAAAACCACAAAGAAATTCCAGGGCCTCAAATGTGCTAGGCAAGCAAACACTCAACCACTAAATTATAGCCTGTGGTGGTTTGAATGAGAATGACCCCCATACACTCATATGGGGGTTTGAAAGCTTAGCCCTAGTTTGTGGTACTGTTTGGGAAAGATTAGGAAGTGTGGCCTTGTCGCGCAGTAGTAGCACACATCTTTAGTCCCAGCACATGGGAGGCAGAAGCAGGTGGATTGCTCTAAA